TTTTCATCTGCTATTACTTTAGCACGTTCTTCTTAATCACTTGCATCTGCAACCAACAAAAATGAAGAGGTTCTGTGAATCTTATCGCTAGGCGATGCAAGATGGGCTCTTCCAGGTGCCTTGGCAACCAAGGTCAGATAGGGTCTATACTGCAGACTCGGATTTCGATCACAACAAAAGCCTCTTTGGCATCGACTTCACATCCTAAACTCCCTTTTGCATGCTCATTTAGAGGAATTTTGTCCGTTTCTATTCAATTCGTTATTACTGGCATTGGCTCGCTGTCACATGGAAACATAGCGACCACACCGTCTTTGTCCTCACACCCTTAAGGTCTCCTTCTCCCCACCCTCTCAGCTACGCTGCCATAGACGTGCCTATGCCGTCTGGCGTAAAACGCCGCCCAGTCACTTTGTCGATTCTGTCCATCTGAGACAAGCACCGGGCCAGTCGGTGTTGCCACCGCCGCCGCCACCGCCGGTCTTCGTCAAGCAGCGCCTCTCGCAGACTCCGCCACCTGTGGCGCCGGTCGTGTCTTCTGCTCGTCCGTCGCCAACTTTGGCGCCACCTCTGCCTCCACCTCCGCCTCCCGTCGGCCTGCCTCCTCTGCCCGGGAGTCCCCGAACCAACTCAACCTCGTCCAGACGCATGGCCCTCCTGCTACAGGCCAGTCGGGACCACTTGCATACCCAAACCGTCTCCATGGACACCGTCAGCAGCGTGATATACGCCAGTTGCCATTCGGACAGTACAACCGAAGCGGCCAGACTCCTCGACGTCGGCGTTCTGACATGTCAATCGGAGGCTGAGCCTGACACTACCTCATCCGGCTGGACTCTACCCGCCTTGACAACTGGCGAGCCGATGGTCGAGAGGGACGGACGCAGGCTGTTGCCCGCTTGTGTCGTCTGCCTCCACGAGATGCAGGCCATGGAGGTTAGGATCAGCGTAACCGTTTGTCCGGACTCATGGGAATCACCTTGTACCTGTCCGCTAGCCTTAAAGAACCATTTTGGTCGGTCTGGTCGGCAAACGAGCCATCGTTTTAGGTTTGGTCAAAAGACGATAGAGTGAACGGAGTGGACGGAGTGGACGGAATGGGCTCTGCCTGAGCACCAACCGGACCATACGAATTTGGCCAGTCTAGGACGAGCTTAGTCAGCCTCAAAGACTGACAGTTAGAACTGTCCACAACGAGAGTAGTGGTCATTGAGCTTCATTCCCAAAGGTCCTTAACTCGCCTAAAGCCGTCTGGAGTGACTTAATTATATTTTCATCTGAAGTAGATTTCGAGACTATCAGTAAAGCTTGAATAAAAGTTCTAGTCACCCTTTGTCGAAGAAGGGGCTTAGGGAGGGATTACCGAATTTCGCCACAATCACGTGACTTTTGCATGGACTTGATTTCCAAAAGGTAATTAGTGAAGCGATTCGAGGTTGATCGCACCAAAAGACCAAATTTTGATTGGCTGTACTGGAACATTTTTGCTGACACAGTCCCAGAGGCAATCTTCTTCGATTACAGTGAAAACATGGCAAGATTTCGTCCCTCTTTCGACAAGCATCATGATGGCAGAGTATCACTTCTACAAACATATTTAAGCTAATGAGTAAAATAATGCGCCTGCATAGTCCTCGATACAAAATATGAACTCTAGACCTATGCATGTTCATTAAACAGTTAGATAGGCTAAAATAGTTATCTCTTGACAACAATTATATTTTAGGCTTAATGAAAAATAAAACAAATTTTTCAACGGGGACTATTTGATAAGAGGTAAACATAATGTGAACTTGATGGTATGAAGACCAAGATGGTGTGTCCTTTTGTGTGGTCGCAGTCTCCTTTCGTTGTATAGAAGTTGTTTG